TTACTTAGTTTATTGCATGAATTTCAGAATACTAGCTATGTATTTATTTAGTTCTTGAATTACAAATGCTAGGTCAGATATCTCAGTTATTCAGTTATACATGCCTCAGTTATTAATGGATCATTATCAGATTAATTATTGCATTCTCAGTTTGCATGTTCAGTTTTGAGCTATCCAATATTTACATAAATTCAGTCATAACTAGTTAACCACTTAATTCATTGGGAGTAGCATAATATCGAGTTGGACTAGGGTTCAGCGTACCCATAGAGTCCTAGAACTACGAGCCACATAGGTGTAAGTCCCCTTTATTGGCAACATCAGTTTAGTGATCACGCCAGTCATGCCTCTATACCTTTGGCCGGGTATATTGGGTCCACTTGATGGGGCATATACATCAGACTCCACATTTAGCTCATGTTGTTTTATTATCGGTTATTAGTAGCTCCCACAGTTCACTCAGATTCTATTGCATTGACCTCATTTACAGTACAGTCAGTATTCAGTTTCATCACGTTATAATTTTGGTCATTGTATTCAGCTAACTCAGTATTCAACATCAATATCATGTTCAGATTATTTCATTGCTTTATTGCTTTGTTCAGTTATATGTTCTTTCACCTTTACTCTATCATGCATGCTTGGTACCTTTCAAGTATTGACGCATACGTGCACTACATCTTCTCGTGATGTAGGTTCAGGTTCTCAGCATCTAGATTATGCTTAAGTCGGTTCCTCATCTTCAGTTCAGCAACATCAGTGGTGAGTCCTCATTCTTTGAGGACTAGTGACATGTTTATCTTTATCGCTTTTAGTCTTTAGTTTCAGCTTTGCTAGACCTAGTTGGGGCATGTCCCAACATTTCTAGTCAGTTTAGAGGCTTACTCCAAACATAGTTAGATTCAGCTTAGTACTGAGTTAATATCTTTTTTGTATTAAACTCATTAATTATAGTATATGGGTATTCCCATCTTTTCATTTTTATTTATGATTTAGCTTCCGCATCAGTTTATTATCTTCAGTATGCTCATGATCATGCCAGAAGGGTTAGCTTGGGATCACTTATGGTCCTAGGTCTCGTTTCCACATCTCGGGGGTAGCTCATGGTGTGAAAAATTCCTTTTGTGCTAAGAGTTATGACCATGTGAAGTTGATCCAATCATTAATTTTCATCTAACTGGCTGTTGACCCTCACTTACGGTCAGACCTACGGACCGTGGATCCAACGGCGGTCTGCACTGGTCGACCGTAGTTCATGTCAAAGGCTGGGTAAAGGAGTCTTGATCCACGGACACATACCACAGACTATGGTCTTACCTACTGAATGTGGGTCTGTCCGTGGGTCGAGACTTAGCCAATTTTATGAGCTAGGTTGGGGATGGGTTGCAGTGGTGAACCTCGGACCACCAGCACGAGCCGTGGTCTAACCTACGGTCCGTGGATGGCAACCGTGGGTTGCACTTACAACTTCTCAAAATCTGCATTTTTAGTGTATTTCAGATACGGGGTGTTACACCTCTACTTCCTCCCAGAAGACCAAGATTACTCAGGTAATGATCCTGAAGATGGGGCATCTGGCCCGTTCAGCTGATGTGAGGGAGACCCGATTAGAGAGATATGTCCCCTTGATGATTGAGGTTGCTATCTTAGCTGCACTGACTCCCCTCTGGGCTTTTGTTGATGATCTGGCTACCATAGTTATAGCTTTTGAGAGCAGGAAAGGGTAGACCTCCGAGGTTACGGCTTTGAGAATTGAGCTAGCTGACTTAAGGAAGGACGTAGACTATCTATAGTCTACTGACTTCACTTCATTACTGGAGGTTGCAGATGATTTAGACGCTCTAAGACTTCAGAGTTTCCTTCGGCCACCACCGAAAATGTACACATGGATGAGGCAGCAGTTGTTGAGTCGGATGTTGAGACCGACGAGGAACATATAGAGATACGAGATGAGAGCATATATGGGCACTTTCTAGATCTTGAGGAGATGATTATACAGTCGGTGATCTAGACATCACTGACCGAGACGTCCATGGCAGCTCCTAGTGGGTCTGGTACTACCGTTCCTTCTAAGGTGACTCCGGGCACTGATGCCCAAGTCTAGATTGATGTACCAGGCACTGATGCCTAGACAGATGGAGCGACTGTGTAAATAAGATCTCCTCTTTACCACCCACTCTGTCTTACTCTTATTTTAACTTCTGAATATTTATTTTGTTTGCATTTGAGGGAAAATGACTTTATTTATGGTGGAGTGAGGCCCACCTTTTTTGTGACCTTTTGTGAATATTGGTTTTGTTTATATATTTTTGGGTTTTGAGCTGAAATTGTGTTGTACACCAATTGTTGCGGATGTTTGAGCTTGTGGCTCTGTGTTTTGAATTGTAAATGATTTTTGACCTTTTAGAAAAAATTTGCCAACTCTTGTTTGTGTTGAATGTGGTTGTTCTTTTGCAAATTTGGGTATCGGTTTTGATCAATACCGGTGACTTGAATAGTGCTCATAATCAAACTAAAATGAATGTGCGGCTACGATGAGGCTAAATGAAGTTGCATAGTCAATATGTGAACTCTTTGCATCTCATTGTGACTAACCATGTATCGAATTAAGTCTCTTGTGATGAACATTGCACACTAATGAAAGTGTGGAATCTTGTTTGACTTTGGTGTTAATGTCTTGTGTGATGAGCTTACCATGAACCATGTATGATGACACCTAGAATTTGCCCCGTTGGTCCGGTTTACTAAGTGATGTGAACTCTTGAGATGATATTAGGCAACTTTAAAGAGTGTGAACCAATTTGACATTATACCTCTTTTTGTGGCCTACCTTGTGAGTTCGTGAACCCTGCTTGAGCACCCTTTGAACCTTAACCTTTTCTTGGAAGAAACTTGATGACATTGTGACCTTTAATTGATCCATTATCCATAATCCTCATGATTTGTGGTTTGTTTGAATAGTCAACTTAGGCCAAAAGCCTAAGTCTAAGTTAGGGGTGTGGTGAAAAGAGAAGGTAAATCAAGGAGTGCAAGAAAGTCCCCTTTTACCCATGTTTTGAGAAAAATGGAACCCATCCATACCAAAAAGAGGAAGAAAAGAATGAAAAAGAAAAAAAAGAAAAAGTTCTGGAATAAAGTTGTGAAAATACAAAAAGAAATGGGCTTTCCAACATTCCATGGAAAGTGAATAATGGGATGACTTGTGAGCACGAATGAAAAATGATGAAGAAAAGGAAAGGAAGTGTTGTTCATACCACATTTCATGAGTACTATAGCCATTGAGCCTAAATGGACATACCTTTGCACTCAACCCCATTACAAGCCTTGAAAACACCTTTTTGATCTTGAGTGAGCTGAAACAAATGTTGGTTGGAAAATACGGGCAAACCTATGGGTGAAATCATACATTGTGTTCATCTTTGTGAGTGTGAGCGTTGCATTTGATTCTGGAACTTTAAAGGAATCATTCTTTGTGTGAGGTCACACTACAACAAAAAGGCTTATTAAAGACCAAAATATAGTGACAAGTTATAAATATGGTCCCTAAAATATACTTATAAGGATGATATTATTTACTAGTCTCTATTTGACTATATTATTTTCTAATAACAAATAAACTTGTCCCTAAATGAAATTTTCAGCGGGAACTACAAGGAAGAGCGGGAACTAAAAGGCTCTAAAAAAATTTCTCTCTCTATAATTATAACCTAAAACCCCCAAATCCATTGATAAAGCTATTAGATTTTTCTCTCTCTCTAGCAATATGCCAAAATCGCTGTGCATAGCTCTGAAGTCTCCTTACTCTTGAATCTTGAAGGCATTATTGGCAGAAAAATCTCCTAAATCTTGAAGCTTAAAGGCATTATTGGAAGAAAAACGTTTCACCTACAACTTGTATCTACATCTAAAGTAAGTTTATTCCTCCTGATTCATCTCCCCCTTCTTCTTTTTCTGTAAATCTGCCATTTTTCTTTCTGCTGGTCGAATTTTATGTGATTGGGCTCTTATAGATACTCATTGTTATTGTGTAAGGACTGAAAATGATAGTTTTATAGTTAAGGCTTGGGGTTGAGGTTCAAAGAGGAGATATTTGAGAGTTTATTTAAGATTTTCTCTGTTAGGGTTGTATAATTGCTAGGGCTGCCAAGAAATTTTGGTAAGGCTGGCATTGCAAAAAAAAATTCCATCAGGTGATGAATATGTAGAATATTTTTACCATTAGTGTCTTTAATTCAGTTCCCAGTTTATGTGCTTTGAATTTGAATGGGTTTTTTTATTGTATAACTATTGTATTCAATTTTTAAGTATAATGTGACACTAAAAAGATTAGACGAGAAAGAAACGAAATTGTGAATGAGCATTGATAAAGCATTTGATTGTAGTTTCCTTTTTGTGGTGTTTCAAATATTGTTTTAATTGTTATTTTCTACTACAACTAGTGCTGCATATTGGTTTCTAAAGTTACTACTTGTGGCGCATTTTTGAAATCTTATGCTACATGGAAATTTGTGGTTGTTTGTCATTGTTGTTTTGGTGGTTGTTGTTTTCAATTAGATGCTATATGTTTTATTGAAATTGTTTGGATCCTCGTGTAGTTTGATAAAAAAAATTGTTGGAGAAGTTGTTGATAAGTTTAGCTTTGTGAAACATGAAAAAGGTCATTAGTTCACATGGATGTCTCATAATATAGTTTAACTCGCAGTGTGTAGTGTTCTGTACTATATTATGCGACATCCACGTGGATGTCTGCGAGTTAAACTTGTCGTCTTTATTTGAAGTTCAGTAGTAGGTTTGGGATGTCGCATCTGTTAAGACCTTTTAGTTTTATTATATATAGCAGCACATATTCAATTAAAAGAAAAGATGTTATTAGTCCATTTTAGATATTTATTTTTTAATTATTAGGATGATTGACTAGTTTAATAGAAAGTAATGTTCATCTTAGTAAATTTGTTATCCTAAAGTATGATTGATCTAACTCTTATATATAATCCAAGGTTATGGCACCAAGTAAGCAATGGATGCAACTTGTTGATGATCGACTTAATGAGGCCTACTTTATCAGGGTGGAAAATTTTTTGAATTATGCTTTTCAAAGGACAGGAGAAATGTATGAAATACGATGTCCGTGTGTTAAATGTTGTAATACCACATTAGGAACACGTGAGACAGTTAGAACACATTTGAAAGTATATGGAATAATTAAAAATTATACCTTTTGGTATCATCATGGGGAAGTCTTAGGTGAGCCAGAATCACAATGTGAAGATGAAGATGATAATGAAGTAGAAAATTGTGAGAATGAGGATGAAATACGAGAAATTTTGAGAGATTTCTATCCTAATCATTATGGACACACTTTAGATGTTGATTGTGATGATTCACTTGAAGAGGAACCAAATGTTGAAGCCAAAAAGTTTTATAGCCTATTGGGAGACTTTGAGAAGCCACTGTATCAAGGTTCAAAAATTTCGAAACTTTCAACTTTGATTAAGTTGCTTCACATAAAAAGTATGGGTCGTTGGAGTAATGAGTCATTTACAATGTTGTTAAAAATGTTAAAAGAGGAGTTGTTGCCAGATGAAGCCGATTTGCCAAATACATATTACGGGGCAAAGAAGGTAATTCGAAATCTTGGGCTTTCCTACGAAAGAATTGATGCTTGTAGAAATGATTGCATGTTATATTGGAAGGAGGATAACTTACTTGATTCTTGTAAAGTTTGTGGTGAATCTAGATGGAAAGTTGATAAACGTAACGGGGAAGCAAAGAACAAAAAAGGTAAAAAGATTGCATCAAAGATTTTACGCTATTTTCCATTAAAACCTAGGCTTCAAAGGTTATTTATGTCTTCAAAGACATCTTCTCTAATGACATGGCATCATGGCGAAAGAGTTGATGATGGAATAATGAGGCACCCAGCTGATTCAATGGCATGGAAATCATTTGATGAACTTCATCCTTCATTTGCAGCCGAGCCTCGTAATGTTCTACTTGGACTTGCGAGTGATGGTTTTCAACCATTTCGGAATGCAAAAACCTCATATAGCATTTGGCCGGTGGTACTTATTCCTTATAACTTACCACCTTGGTTGTGTATGAAACAAGAAAATTTTATCATGTCCATGCTTATTCCTGGTCCAGATAGTCCAGGTGATGCAATTGACACATATCTTCAACCTTTAGTAGAAGAATTGAAGGAGCTATGGAATATTGGTATTGAGACCTTTGATGCATCAACCAAACAGAATTTTAAGCTATATGCTTCTTTGTTATGGACCATCAATGACTTTCCAGCATATGGAAATTTATCTGGATGGAGTACCAAAGGAAAATTGGCATGCCCATGTTGCAACAAAGATACTTCCTCAATCAGATTGACCAATTGTAAGAAAGAAAGTTTTATGGGTCATCGTCGTTATCTTCCTCGTAATCACAAATGGAGGAATGATAAGAAGTCCTTTGATGGTACAGAAGAGAAGAGGCTCCCACCGAAAAAAACGTTTTGGTATTGAGATTCTTCATCAAGTTCAAGATCTTGAAGGGTTACAGTTAACAAAGGAACCAAAGGAAAGAATCAAAATATCACATGATAGTCGAAAAGATAATTGGAACAAGAAGAGTATCTTTTTTGAACTTCCATATTGGGAGTCTCTTTTGTTGCGACATAATTTGGATGTTATGCATATTGAGAAAAATATATGTGATAATATTTTGGGGACAATTATGAATGCCAAAGGAAAGACCAAGGACACTATTAATACTCGGCTAGATTTGAAAGAAATGAATATAAGGCCGGAGTTGCACCCTATCCAGAAAGGTGAAAAATATGAAGTTCCAACTGCATGTTACACCTTATCTCCACAAGAAAAGCACAATTTCTGCCTGTTTTTGAAGAATTTAAACGTTCCAGATGGATTTTCATCCAACATTTCTCAGTGTGTTAACTTGAAAGATCACAAAATTTCTGGTTTAAAGAGTCATGATTGCCATGTTATTCTCCAACATTTACTCCCTCTTGCACTACGTGGTATGTTGTCCAAAGAAGTGTGTGAGCCACTAATTGAATTATCTTTATTTTTTAATATGATTGGAGCTAAGTTATTAAGGGTTGATGACTTGGAGCAGGTTGAGGCTCAAATTCCTATAACTCTTTGCAAGTTAGAAAAGGTATTTCCGCCTTCATTTTTTGATGTCATGGTGCACTTGCCTATTCACTTAGCTAATGAAGCTATGCTTGGTGGACCTGTCCAGTATCGATGGATGTATCCCATAGAACGATGGTTATATTTTTTGAAATCTCTCATTGGTAATAGGGTTTGGCCAGAAGGTTGTATTGCAGAGGGTTACATTGCAAAGGAATGTATGAATTTATGTTCAAGATATCTGCATACAATTGACACAAAATTTAATAGGCCAGAACGAAACTATGATGGTGGTTTGAAAAAATCTGATGGAGGATTATCTCTATTTTGTCAATCTGGAAAAACATTGGGGGCTCCAAAACAGTGTGATCTTGAAGCAAATGAATTAGAGCAAGCACATATCTACATACTAAAGAATTGCGATGAAGTTCTACCATTTCTAGAGTATGATTTTTTTCTACATATCATACTTCATTGCCTTGTTTCTTTAGGATTATTTTTTTGTATGACATTTGTGGTTCAATTTAAATTTGTAGAGAGTTTGCACAAATTCATGTAGATTCTACTCAACACTTGTCTGGTGATGAATGGAATAGACAATTTATTGAATGGTTTCAAGATAAGGTGAGTAATATATACACATCAAATTTGGAAATCTAATATTGAGTTACTCATTTAGAAGTGATCAATTTTATCTTGTTGATAGGTTGCACAATTGCATAAAGAAGATGATAGTCGGATCATGGAAGATCTCCTTGCACTTTCACGTGGTCCTACTAAATATGTATTATATTATAATGGTTACATTGTCAATGGATATAGATTCCATGCAGAAGCTTATGATAAAAATTTAAGGACTCAAAATTGTGGTGTGGTTGTCGTTGGTGAAACTGATAAACATAGTGACAACATTGATTACTATGGAGTTTTAACCGATGTTCTTGAATTGCAATTCACGGATAGAAGAGTTGTTTTGTTTGAATGCAAATGGTTTGATGCATATGATAAGACAAAAGGAGTGAAAATAGATGAGTATGGCATTGTAAGTGTAAATTGGGGGCGATTTTTGAAAATAAATGAGCCTTTTGTATTAGCTGATCAAGCCTCTCAAGTATTTTATGCTAATGATAATTCCAATAGAGGTTGGTGTGTAGCGAGAAAGGTACAACCTCGTGATTCCTATGAAATTGTGCAACAAAAGGACAATGAATTTGAAGATTTAGAAAATTCTTCACAAAATAAACGAAAAAGAATGATTGAGGTGAAGTATCTCCTTAAGCTTTAGCATATTCATTATTATACATTTTGATACATGATTTTTGTTAGTACATTATTTTTATAGTGTCTTCATTTTTTTGCCAAGTATATGATTTTTAGAATGTTTTTTCATTTTTTTTGTTAACACATTGTCTTTGTTTTTTGTTAGGTTTGATATGAAACCATCCAAGGATGAAAATCAGGTGGCATCTAGGGTGAAAGCTACTACTAAATATGCATGTGTGCCACCGGGTGCTATAGGAAAGGGACGAGGAAGAGGGCTTAAATCTATGTTGTCTTTAGGGGTGTCAAGAACTGATATTCCATTTTCGCCATCTACTGATCAAGTTATGCAGTACAATCAATTTCCTGAAACAAGTATGGGTTTTTATTTTTATTTGTGTTATTAATTTGTACGAGGAATTTTAATACTAATTTTTTATTGTCGATTTTCTTATACTAGGTGTGGTTGCAAAGGGACGAGGAAAAGGTCTTAGATCTATGTCTAATGCTCAAGGAGTGCGAACAATGAACAAAACCTACTTGAGTGTTGAGAAAGGACATATTCCATCTTTTTCATCTACTGATGAACTTATGCAATACATCAAAACAAATTCATCAAGTATGATTCTACAATATATTATGTTTTAGAATTGCATTTAATTTATTGTTAATGTTTAACTGATATGATTTCTTGCACTAGGTGCTCAAGGGAAGTATCAAGGGCTTAAATCTATGTGCTCAATTGAAGATTCTGAAAATGAGGGGAGATCTTTCAATCAAAATGATCGTTATGTTAGTCAAAATATGTCAAGACCTTCTGCTGATCAAGGATGGCGAACAATGAATAAAAAGTTTTTGGCTTTTGAGAAAGAGCATATGCAAGCTGATGTTCCAATTTCTCTTTCTACTGATTATGTTATGGAGTCCCCCCCCAACATTTGAAACAAGTATGATTTCTTAAATTTTTTTCTTTTTCAGAATTGAATTTAATTTGATTCAAGTACTTTTACTGATACAATTTCTTGCATTAGGTTTCTCTCAAGGATTGCGAACAATGAATAAAAAGTTTTTGGCTTTTGAGAAAGAGCATATGCAAACTGATGTTGCATTTTCTCTTTCTACTGATGATGCTATGGAGTCTATCCCAACATTTGAAACAAGTATGATTTCTTTATTTTTTTTCTTTTTCAGAATTTAATTTAATTTAATTTAATTCAAGTATTTTTACTGATATAATTTCTTGCATTAGATTTATCTCAAGGATTAAGAACAACAAATAAAGCTTCCTTGGCTCATGAGAAAGAGCGTTTGCATTCTGATATTCCAATTTCTCCTATTGATCAAGTTAAACAGTCTGCCCAAACAGCTGAAACAAGTATGCTTTCATTTCTGAAATCTATTTGATCACAAGTTTATCATATGTACAATATTTTCTACCATTTATAAATTGTGTAAATGTAGGTTCATGTGCTACTGGAATGGATAAAAAGGTTTGAGGAAGTAACAAGTGCAAAGAAGTTGCATTGCTTGATATTGGACAAAAGCTAAAAGTGACATTTTACAATAATCGAACAGTTGGGAAGAATAGTAATCTATTTTCGAGGCACTTGGGAAAAATAGTTCGTGATCGTAATATATGTCCATTGGGAGTATCATCATGGAAACACATTAAGGAGGAAAAGCTAAATCACATGTGGGCTGTTGTTAAGGTAATTGGATTAAGTATTTCAATTTCTTCTTGGGCTACTCTCTTCTTAATACAATTCTTGTTGCTTAATTAGTGTGCTCCTTCATGTTTCAATTTGATACATTATAGGATAAATTTGATAGTGATGACATGAATAGTCATAGAGATCATGTTTTGGGATGGATGAAAGAGTTATGGAATAAATGGAGAGGTCAATTGCATGAAAAGTATGTGAAGGGTAAGCCTATCCAAGAGGCTCTTAAGAATATGCCTAAGGGGGTAGAAAAGAAGCAATGAGAGTGGTTGGTAAAAGAACATTTTACTTCAAAAGATTTTCAGGTTTGACATATTACCTAATTATGTAATTTGTTTCATACTATGATTTCATTTTGATAATTTATTTATAACATTTGAATTTAATGTTGTTACTCAAATATAGGCGAGAAGCAATAGAAACGCAATAAATAGAGCTAAGCTGAAAATGCTTCATCATATTGGTAGCAAGCCAATTAGAGAGATTATTTATCAAAAGGTGTTACCATCAAATCTTTTTCTGTCTTAATATTGATGAACCGTTCTTTGACATGTTTACTTTTATGTAAAGGGCGGAAAAGATGGCAATCCACCAGATTTGGCAACTATCTTTTACGAGACTCGCAAGAAGAATAACACACTAGTTGATTCTGAAACAATCGAGAAGCATGTGCGTTTGGTTAATTGAACATGTTCTTAACATTTAGTTATTATGGGATCTGGAAAAAAAAATTCCTCTATACACTCTGTAGGCTCAAATTCAAGAATTGGTGGAGTCTGAACCATCACTTTCTAGCATAGAAATTGTTGAGAAATGCTTTGGACCTCAAAGTCGTAGTCATGTATTTGGCTTTGGAGGTGGAGTAAAAGCAACAGATTTGAAAGGTGGGACTTCCTCAAAAGCTGAATTGTTGGCTGAGCTACGTTCAACTCAAAAGGAAAACCAGTCTTTGAAGGATTGCGTGTCTAACTTTCAAAATGAGATGAAAGAACTGAAGCAATTGAAAGAATTTTTTTTAGCGCAACACCCTAATTATCAGCCTCCAATTCAAGAGAATGACTATTCGGATCCTTGATTATACCATGTGAGTAAAAACTTACCTGAAACATCAATTTATTGTTCTGGTTCTGCGTAGCAAAGCTATTAATTGCTGGTTGTTTTATCTTAAAATGTATTTGCACGTTTGATAAATTTTAGAATGATAAATAGTCTATAAATTTGGATCACTATTGAATAGTACTAACCTCATTCTAATGGAGAAAATATTGCGAAGAGCTCTGTCAATATCAGATTCTTCTAATTTTTGCTTCTTCAAAGCTAACTCGTGATAAAATTTTACAGAGAAAATTGACTTTTGGCTATTTAAGGATTTTCAAGTGATGATAACAA